ATGGGCTTGCCTATGGCTGAGATCTTGTTTAGGCATGAGCAATGCTTGGTGGTCACCCCAAGCCAGGGACAAGCCCTGCAGCTCGAAGGAAAAGGAGAGCGACTGCAGCTGCACAAATTCTGGGGACAAGCACGGGGGCTACTTCAGTCCCCACAACAGGCACTGCAGCCACTCAATCTCCAGCCACAGGCACTGCAGCCACTTCTGTCCCTGCACCACGCCCTGCGTTTACTGGGGGGCCACTCAGACTGCAGCTCCTCCCCTCCCTGCAATAAGCACTGCAGCTACTCCAGTTCCAGTGTCAAGCACTGGGGCTACTCAGATCCCAGTGACTGATACCACAGACACTCAGACTTCAACACTGCCAAGTGCAGATGAACCAACAACTATTTATTAGGAACCATTCCACCATCTTCTTTTTGTCCTTTTGCCTTGACAGCCGGTCCTGAAGAGTTTCCAAAGCAGAGGTTGTCTGGCGGATGACCAAGCCGTGTGTTCCTGTGAGGAAGAGAATTGAAGTGACTTGAAAAGGCACCTTTGGAGAAATTGTCTTGGGCTGGAAGGTCTCCACAGTGCCCTTTCGAGAGCTGGAGAGGGCGCAGCCCTCCTTAGCAGATTTCTCCCTGTACTTGGCAAATTGCAGTCAATTGGCCAATGAAACTTCTTTTAAAGAAGTATCCCGAGCAAAGCAAGAAGAAAAAAAAAAAAAATGGCCTTCCCAAGTTGTGCACTCATTTGCTGCTGCTGTGGGCAAGAAGGCAGCCAGAGCTGCACGTCCTTGGCAAGCCTGGTCAGGGTTCCTGCAGGGTTTGGCATGAGGAGAAGGGTTTCTGCCACCCCTTGAGGGTTTCTGCAGGGTTATAGAATTGTGCAGGGAGGACAGGATCTTTAAGATGATTGCGTCTAACAAAACACTGGCGTGTCCACCAGTGAACTCTGTCCCTAAGGGCCATTCAGCATTGCTGTCCTCTCCGTACTTCGGGAGCCGTCTACTGGGAATGAGCCAGAATTGCCCCTTTTACCTTTTCACCAGGGTGACTCAACTCACAGGAGAAATGCTTCCCTTTCTTCTTCCTTCCTTCTTTCCTGCCTGTCTTCCTGCCTTCCTTCCTCCTTCTTTCCTTCGTGCCTCCCTCCCCTCGCTGCCTTGCCTTCCTTGCCTTCCTTTGTCCCTCTCCCTATCCCTGCCCCCATCGTTCCCTTCCTTCAGTTCAGTTCAGTGTGGAGTTGATCAAGGAAGGAGCCTCTTCCCACTTCAAAACCATAGCAAAGACCGCACAAGTGGGACTTTCCATCTGTAAGAAATAATGGACAATTGAGAAGGGAACAAAGAGCTTATTTACAGGGTGACAAGGAAGGGAATCTTCCAGGAGAGTTGAGCTCTTACAGAGTTTTTATTCCGAGTCCCACTCAGAGAAAGCCGTCCTGAAATGGTGTGGTTATCTCCTGTAGTCCCTGGACTGCTTTGCTGCAACAATCACAGGAACCAGTCTGGAGAGGGGCTCGGCTGATTGTAGAAATGGATGCTGCCAAAAGGGGAAAAAACAAGAGAGGACGCATTACTTTCCAAACTCACTTTCTCACAGGCTCAAGCAGGACTCCTCTGGTTGCCAGAAGGATGCAGAAATAGGACAGAGGGGACCATCTGCAACTCTGTCTTCTTGTCCAGGACCTTGCTATCCCAGGCAAAGCTGGCCCATAATCAACAAATTCATTCCTCAAGGTGTCTTCTGAGAAGGAGGTGTTTTTGGGCAGAGTGGTGAAACACTGGCACAGGTTGCCCAGGGAGCTGGGAGGTGCCCCAGCCCTGGAAACATTTGAGGTCATGCCAGAAGGATCTGCAAGCAACCTGATCTCCTTGAAAGTGTCCCTGCCCAGGGCAGAGCACTTAGACTCGATGACCTTCACAGGGGCCTTGCAACCCCCAGCAGTGTAGGATCCTGCTTAGTTTTCACTGGAAAAGCACCAGGCGTGGAGAGTACCAGGAGGGGAGCCCATCTGCTGCCTTGGAGTTTAGCCCAGAAGCAATCCCTGACATGGCACAGCTGTTCCACCTGCAGCCACTTCCCTCTTTACCTGCAGAAGCTCCTGGGCAGATGCTCGCCTCTCCTCGTCCCTCTGCAGGCAGCAGTTCAGGAAGTCATGCAAGAGAGAGGAGTGTAGCCAGGGCTTCTGCAGCTTTGGGGTCCTTTCTCTGGCTATCAGGTCTTGAGCCTGAAGAGAAAGGAAACATGAGCCTCTGCCTCTTTCTTCCATAGCCGTACCTGAGCACCCAGACCCCGCTGAT